CAACAGCACATGAAATTCCTAAAATTAATTAAATTAATGCAAAATAAAAAAATTTAAGAATATAAAAATAAATAATAAAAAAGGTCATTCAATATATTAATAAATACTATAATAGCATATAAATAATACTAAAATTATACTGAAAATCACAATCACTACTGCAAATGAGAAAATGATTAGGCCATAAATATTTTTTGTAATGAAACAGTTTTCTACATTTGTTTATAAAATATAAAATAAAAAAATAAAATATGTATGTTGTAGATGTTTGTTTAAACATAAATCACAAGTGCTGAAAATATGTCTTACTGGACCTTGATCTTCTCAATGCAGTCACTCATAGATGAGGCTTTCACACACACCAGAGGATCTGATTTTATGCTAAGAGCCCACTGCTCACATTTCTTCTGTTCAGCATGACTTATACAGCACCACCTCACCACACTGTCCTCCAGTGAGCTGCCTAACCACACACACACACACACACACACACACACACACACACACACACACACACACACACACACACATTAAAGTCTAAGTTTTTCATTCCCAAGATTACGGTAATAGGTACAGAGGGAAAGCAATCTTTCACCTTCATGTCCAAGGCCCTTGAGCAAGGCCACATAGTCCAGTCCCAGAACCTGGCTCATATCCATGTCTTCCATCAGAACTGATAATTTCTCAGTCACATCTTTGAAAAGAAGGTCACTCCCACCGTAGGATGCGGATTCAAACAGCTGGAAGCGCTGACGCTCCCTTCCCCTCCAACCAAATAAAATCTTCAAAAGAAAACACCAAAAAAAAAATAAATTGAAATCTGAAAACCTATCAGTACTTTCTGCCAAGATACCAATAACATTATTAAGGAACATCTGCAAGAACCTGAGGTCAACTTGAGCCTGAGAGGACCATCATTCTGTTCGTTAAACGGATAGTTCACCCAAAAATGTAAATTCTGTTATCATTTATTTACCCTCAAGTCATTTCAAAACTGCATGATTTGCCTTCTTCTGCGGAAATACAACATTTTCAAGATTGTTGGTAACCAAACAGTTTTGGTGACCATTGACTTGTGTGGACAACAAAACACAGACATTATCAAAATATCTTCTTTTGTGTTCCACAGAAGAACAATTTTATACAGCTTTGGAACAACATGAGGGTGACTAATTTATGACAGAAATTTCATTTTTTCCCCTTGTACTGTAAGACCTGGGTTTGTGTCAGGTTAGAGATTGTAAGTAATAAACAATATGTTAGTAGTACTTATGCTTTAATTTGACCGTAATGTGCCCTACATAGACAACACTTTGTATCTTTTTTCATTTGCTCTTTGTTCAGAAAATAAACAAAAAGAGATTTTGGTATTAACATTTTACAGCACTGGTCTGTCAGATCAGACACTCTTATGCACCAGTTTTGGGTTCCAACACAAAACATACCTGGGCAGTGACCAAGAACTTCCGAGCAATTTTACGGGTGTTCATTCGTGTGACCACACCCTCTCCAGGGCCTCGTCCAAGGTTACAATTTCTAAAACTGCTGAGGGGAGCATGAGTTCCATCTATACATAACAGTCTGAACTCATCTTTCTCACTTTCTGTTTAGGAAAAAAAAAAACTATAAGCCAGGATAAAAAAAACTGAAATTTGAAAGAGAGGAAAAAGCAGTTCATCACAAATAGGATTTAATCATTAGTTCATCCACATTGTAAAAGCATAAATGTTTGTGGAAGAGTGCATTATTGGGTTAACCATCAATGCTGTCCAGAGCTGTGTGATCCACAAAGGCTACATCGCCTGCCTGTGACTGTAAACATCTACAAGAAAAAGAATGGATACTGTAAGACCCTCCTGGTAACTTGGCAGTGACTCACTGATACAGGTGTAAATAAGAATATTTTAACCTGAGTGCTCCTTGGTTGTGGTAGAATGGTTCACTGTGAGACGTCTCACAATGGAAATTTTTCTGACGAATGTATGACCTTTGACCCTGGCACAAGGAACAAAGGCTGGTTGCCATTGTAGTTGCTCCAGGCACACAGCTGGCATTGAAGAAAACACTAACCGCTGACAAAATAGTCAAAATATGAGCAGTAGGAATAGTCATAGATATTTTTGAAAACTTTGTTTGCTTTGGGAGAACATGACGGAATACTTTCGATGCTATGAACCGGATTACCAAGCGACTGGAAATACATAAACAACAACAACAAAAATCTGGGAAATTGCTTCTAACTGATTTCATTCCATCAACATTTTCTGGACTAATCCTTTAGAGACTGTTGTATAGAGTGTTGTTTTAATATTATTTATATACTAATACAGTACTTATTAATATTTTGAAATAGCTTTTATGTTTTTATATTTAAAATTTTAGTTAAAAGGAATAGTTGACAAAAATGCTGAAAATTTGCTGAAAATTTACTCTAGATAGTAAATTTTACCATCATAAAAATCCATAAGTAATACACACAACACTCCAGTCCACCAATTAACATCTTGTGAAGCAAAAAGCAGCGTGTTTGTGAGAAACAAATCCATCATTAACATGTTTTAACTTTAAATCATCTCTTGTGGCCAAAATATGAGTCCATAATAATACTTCTTCCAGTGGAAAAAGTCCATCCCCCTTTTGGTTCACAAGACATTAAATGATGGACTAGAGTCATGTGGATTATTATTGTGACTCTCATTCTGACAGCATCTATTCACTGCAGAGGATCCATTGGTGAGCAAGTGACGCAATGCTAAATTTCTCCAAATCGATGAAGAACCAAACTCCTATACAGTGGAGATCAAAATTAGAGAACAACCTACAATTTCCTAAATTTCAAGGTCACTGCTTAGTCCTATTTGAAATGATCCTAACAGGAGTAGAATGGCAGTTTTTAATCATATTTCATAAATTAATTGTATTCTGAAGCACAGAGCAACTCATTGAAAGGTGGAGGAGGAAGTGTCATGCTTTGGGGGATGTTTTGTGCAGCAGGAGTTGGGACTCTTATACAGATACATGGCAAGTGAATGCAAATGTTTATCAGAACCTCCTTCAGCAACATGCAGTTCCTTCCCTGCAAGCATCTCCCAATCAGCCTGCAATTTGTGAGCAAGACAATGTCCCCATTACACAGCAAAAAGGATAAAGCAGTTCCATGAAGATGAAAACACTGAAATAATGAAATGGCCACCGAAGAACAATTTTATACAGCTTTGGAACAACATGAGGGTGACTAATTTATGACAGAAATTTCATTTTTTCCCCTTGTACTGTAAGACCTGGGTTTGTGTCAGGTTAGAGATTGTAAGTAATAAACAATATGTTAGTAGTACTTATGCTTTAATTTGACCGTAATGTGCCCTACATAGACAACACTTTGTATCTTTTTTCATTTGCTCTTTGTTCAGAAAATAAACAAAAAGAGATTTTGGTATTAACATTTTACAGCACTGGTCTGTCAGATCAGACACTCTTATGCACCAGTTTTGGGTTCCAACACAAAACATACCTGGGCAGTGACCAAGAACTTCCGAGCAATTTTACGGGTGTTCATTCGTGTGACCACACCCTCTCCAGGGCCTCGTCCAAGGTTACAATTTCTAAAACTGCTGAGGGGAGCATGAGTTCCATCTATACATAACAGTCTGAACTCATCTTTCTCACTTTCTGTTTAGGAAAAAAAAAAACTATAAGCCAGGATAAAAAAAACTGAAATTTGAAAGAGAGGAAAAAGCAGTTCATCACAAATAGGATTTAATCATTAGTTCATCCACATTGTAAAAGCATAAATGTTTGTGGAAGAGTGCATTATTGGGTTAACCATCAATGCTGTCCAGAGCTGTGTGATCCACAAAGGCTACATCGCCTGCCTGTGACTGTAAACATCTACAAGAAAAAGAATGGATACTGTAAGACCCTCCTGGTAACTTGGCAGTGACTCACTGATACAGGTGTAAATAAGAATATTTTAACCTGAGTGCTCCTTGGTTGTGGTAGAATGGTTCACTGTGAGACGTCTCACAATGGAAATTTTTCTGACGAATGTATGACCTTTGACCCTGGCACAAGGAACAAAGGCTGGTTGCCATTGTAGTTGCTCCAGGCACACAGCTGGCATTGAAGAAAACACTAACCGCTGACAAAATAGTCAAAATATGAGCAGTAGGAATAGTCATAGATATTTTTGAAAACTTTGTTTGCTTTGGGAGAACATGACGGAATACTTTCGATGCTATGAACCGGATTACCAAGCGACTGGAAATACATAAACAACAACAACAAAAATCTGGGAAATTGCTTCTAACTGATTTCATTCCATCAACATTTTCTGGACTAATCCTTTAGAGACTGTTGTATAGAGTGTTGTTTTAATATTATTTATATACTAATACAGTACTTATTAATATTTTGAAATAGCTTTTATGTTTTTATATTTAAAATTTTAGTTAAAAGGAATAGTTGACAAAAATGCTGAAAATTTGCTGAAAATTTACTCTAGATAGTAAATTTTACCATCATAAAAATCCATAAGTAATACACACAACACTCCAGTCCACCAATTAACATCTTGTGAAGCAAAAAGCAGCGTGTTTGTGAGAAACAAATCCATCATTAACATGTTTTAACTTTAAATCATCTCTTGTGGCCAAAATATGAGTCCATTATAATACTTCTTCCAGTGGAACATGTGGATTATTATTGTGACTCTCATTCTGACAGCATCTATTCACTGCAGAGGATCCATTGGTGAGCAAGTGACGCAATGCTAAATTTCTCCAAATCGATGAAGAACCAAACTCCTATACAGTGGAGATCAAAATTAGAGAACAACCTACAATTTCCTAAATTTCAAGGTCACTGCTTAGTCCTATTTGAAATGATCCTAACAGGAGTAGAATGGCAGTTTTTAATCATATTTCATAAATTAATTGTATTCTGAAGCACAGAGCAACTCATTGAAAGGTGGAGGAGGAAGTGTCATGCTTTGGGGGATGTTTTGTGCAGCAGGAGTTGGGACTCTTATACAGATACATGGCAAGTGAATGCAAATGTTTATCAGAACCTCCTTCAGCAACATGCAGTTCCTTCCCTGCAAGCATCTCCCAATCAGCCTGCAATTTGTGAGCAAGACAATGTCCCCATTACACAGCAAAAAGGATAAAGCAGTTCCATGAAGATGAAAACACTGAAATAATGAAATGGCCACCCAGAGTCCTGATCTAAACCCAACTGAAAAATCCTTGGTGACAAAGTTATGACTAGGAAACCTACTACAGTTACTGTACTATGCAAAAGACTGGAAGAAGAGTGGACCAAGTTCACACCAGCGCAGTCTGAGAAACTAGCGATGTCCTGCGGCCGCAGATGTGCTGAAGTCATTCAAAGCAATAAAATTTTAGTTAAAAGGAATAGTTGACAAAAATGCTGAAAATTTGCTGAAAATTTACTCTAGATAGTAAATTTTACCATCATAAAAATCCATAAGTAATACACACAACACTCCAGTCCACCAATTAACATCTTGTGAAGCAAAAAGCAGCGTGTTTGTGAGAAACAAATCCATCATTAACATGTTTTAACTTTAAATCATCTCTTGTGGCCAAAATATGAGTCCATAATAATACTTCTTCCAGTGGAAAAAGTCCATCCCCCTTTTGGTTCACAAGACATTAAATGATGGACTAGAGTCATGTGGATTATTATTGTGACTCTCATTCTGACAGCATCTATTCACTGCAGAGGATCCATTGGTGAGCAAGTGACGCAATGCTAAATTTCTCCAAATCGATGAAGAACCAAACTCCTATACAGTGGAGATCAAAATTAGAGAACAACCTACAATTTCCTAAATTTCAAGGTCACTGCTTAGTCCTATTTGAAATGATCCTAACAGGAGTAGAATGGCAGTTTTTAATCGTATTTCATAAATTAATTGTATTCTGAAGCACAGTATAAAAAACTTAAATGAAATATTTGAAAAAGAACTCTGATCAAAATTAAATGAACACTTACAGATACCTCCAAATTATTGGTGTTAATCTGGCACCTGGTGCTAATTTCCTTCATTATATGACAAACCCTATTTAACTAGCAGCATTCCTCTAATTTTCGCTGAGATTTCAAGATGGTGGGCCGCTCTGGTGACTGAACCCTTGCAACAGGAGGCGGTCTAGATGAAGGCCAAAGGGATGACCCTTTCAGCCATTGCAAGAGAAGTTGGTCGTTCCAAATCTGTGATTTCTAGAATATTGCAGTTTTACAAAAACACTGAACCCCGAGGGCATAAAGAAGTCATTGAAAGGTGGAGGAGGAAGTGTCATGCTTTGGGGGATGTTTTGTGCAGCAGGAGTTGGGACTCTTATACAGATACATGGCAGGTGAATGCAAATGTTTATCAGAACCTCCTTCAGCAACATGCAGTTCCTTCCCTGCAAGCATCTCCCAATCAGCCTGCAATTTGTGAGCAAGACAATGTCCCCATCACACAGCAAAAAGGATAAAGCAGTTCCTTGAAGATGAAAACACTGAAATAATGAAATGGCCGCCCAGAGTCCTGATCTAAACCCAACTGAAAAATCCTTGGTGACAAAGTTATGACTAGGAAACCTACTACAGTTACTGTACTATGCAAAAGACTGGAAGAAGAGTGGACCAAGTTCACACCAGCTAAATTAATTGTATTCTGAAGCACAGTATAAAAAACTTAAATGAAATATTTGAAAAAGAACTCTGATCAAAATTAAATGAACACTTACAGATACCTCCAAATTATTGGTGTTAATCTGGCACCTGGTGCTAATTTCCTTCATTATATGACAAACCCTATTTAACTAGCAGCATTCCTCTAATTTTCGCTGAGATTTCAAGATGGTGGGCCGCTCTGGTGACTGAACCCTTGCAACAGGAGGCGGTCTAGATGAAGGCCAAAGGGATGACCCTTTCAGCCATTGCAAGAGAAGTTGGTCGTTCCAAATCTGTGATTTCTAGAATATTGCAGTTTTACAAAAACACAAATTCATTCAAGTCCCCCAAAAAGGCTGGTCGTCCACGTAAGACAAATGCACGAGAAGACAGGATAATGCGGAGACTCTCAATGGGGAATCGGTTCAACACTGCAGCTGGAATTGCTCGCTGAAAAGGGCATGGATCAGTCTCGGCATGTTTAAAAGACAGACAGACTGAAAACACACTCAGCAGTGACCAAGCCTGTCATCAGCAGAGAGAATCAAAAGCAAGACTAAACTTTGCTGAGGAGCATGTTGTGTGGAGAGCGGAGAACTGGATCCTGCGGCCGCAGATGTGCTGAAGTCATTCAAAGCAAGGGCCTCTACAATTCCTACTAATTTCTGACAGCTGTAACCCTCCAAACTTTTAGTTATAATCTTCTTTCGTGCTACAGTGGGTACTGTTCTCTAATTCTGATCACTGTCTTTTGCATAAAATAAACATTTTTGTTGAAATGCCTTGGTTATTTTGTCAAACATGTTAGTATAACAGTGGTATACCTACAGCTAATAATCATTCAAATTCTCTAATTTTGATCTCCACAGTACATCTTGAATGGCCTGAGGGGGAGTAAATTTTCTAAAAGCTATTGCTTTTTTATATTAACATTTTTAATTTCTTTTTTATTTTGGTTTTAGTAATTTTAGTACTTCAACTTAAAATTATTTTATTTCAGTTAGTTGTCAAGACAATAAAAAAAAAAAAAAAGCATTTTCCATGTTTAATAGTTTGAGCTTTAGGTAACACTACCACTGGTTATATATAACTTGTGATTGGTCGTCTTACCCTGACTGAGGGGCTCATCCTCTGCCCAGGGCAGGAGGTTTCGAGAAAGGAGATGTCCCAAAGGGAGACTCCAACCTGCAGTCCAGCGAGCTCCACTATGACAACTCCTACTGCCCCGCAAAGAGCGCATATCTAAAGTACTGCTGTTCCTCACCACAGCAACTGCAAGAATACATCCACCTATGAAATGAGGGGGGAGACAAAGTGAAAAAGGAACATATTTACATGTTACTGCTTGCAAAGTCTGAGGCATATGACCTACAAGACAGCATAAATGGAGCAAGAACTGAAACTACATTAGGTGTTTGTATGATACCATCTCTGTAGATCTCCTTTGCAACTACTGTGAGTCCGAACTGTTTTACTGCAGAGTATACCTCTCCAGCATCCAAAGTCACAAGGTCAGCTTTATTATCCTGACAAGAGAGGATAACAGAACATAAAGCATTTACTTTTATGTCCCAGGGGTTGATTTGAAACAGATTTCAGCTTGTGCAATATCATATGTAACCCACCCGTATCTTATTAATGCAGTCAGCAGTGCCATAAGCTTTCACACATGAGAGACGGCCAAATGCTGTGACAGCTGCAAGTGGAAGGACAGCGACCAGAGCTTTGGCCAGCTCAGCACACTTCCTCTGCTCCGGCTCCGAGACTGTACACCAGCGCATCTTCTTCCCTAAATGCAGATATGCAGGCATACAGAACAGTGATAATAGGTCACAAATAAAATGGGTTTCACAAATAAATGTTTATTTATTTATTTTCGTGAGGAGTCTTTCAAATGAAAATATTTACAATTGTGGTTTGTCACAAACACATCTCTTTGTATGTATTTGTGGACCAAAAATTATTTATTTGGAAATATGAAACAACTCTTCTAACCCATAAAAATCCCACGGTCAACAAAATATACATAGTTGTCATTACTTAGGTATACTGTTTTATATGTCATAAATATCGCAAAAATGTTTAACGTTCTGTAAGTTAAGGCACGTATAGAAAAAATGCATAGACCTCTCTTTTACAATTATTTGCACACTGATAATTTTCTAAACGATTTTATATGTAGGCCAGTTTTATAATACGGTCCCTACTAATATTGTCTTGTAAAAAATAAAATAAAATTTAAAATAAATAAATAATATATTTATGGGTGCAACATTGCTAATGAAAAATTCTGGCAGAGGTCCAGCAACTTTCTCTTCACCAAACGTTTATGTTTATCCCCTAATAACTCTAAAATGCGTTAAAAACTAAACTATAAACACATTACTGATCATTTAAAATGCTAATAATGATGAAATGCATGTAAAGAATACAACTGGAAAAGGCAAGCGTTAATCATTTGCAGCTTTTGTTAGTTTTAGCAAATGCGCACTTACCCCAGCTGGTGATGGAGCACAGCAGTAAGATAACAATTACGCTCACTCGCTTCATCATAGTAACAGATTCTGCTCTGGGGAAATGAATCACAGTCTGCATCGAGTCCTGCGGAGACGTTTCAGTGAAACAGGCATGTCGCCTACTGAAGATCTCACTGTCTAGGTTTGCGTCAGTCTGAAAGAAAAAAACCCTGTACTGGGCAAGCGGGTGTTTTCAAAGCGAATAGTTCTTATAATAAATGCGCGCATATGGAAAACATTACACTGGAACTCTTATGTCACGTGGAACATTCTCGTCCAGGCATCCTTCCTTGCTTGGCGTTGTATGGCATTTCCAGAAAGCGCCTTTTGTTCGGAATTGTGTTAGTATTAAATGCTACTGGACTTACTCCACTGAATCAGCAACGCAGTCCATGTGATCGTCCAAATTATGATTCCAAGTTTAAGATCCAACATTCCAACGTCACAGCCAACTAAATTTTACTCAGGTAGGCTACCCAGTTTGTTAGGATGTCAAGATAAATAAGCAATTTTAAAACATCAAAATATAGGATTTAATGCTTTATTTAAAAAGAAATACATATTTACAACAGTGTCTTTGAATAAATACAATGTCATCTGAAACGTTTTCTGGCATAAAGTTGGCATCATATAATATAGACTTATTTTTGGACTTATATTCCATACTTAGTGGGTGTTTTTGTATTAACATTGGAGGGTAGTAGTTGGCTCTGGATGGTGTTAACTCTGGCAGCATAGCGAATCATGGTGGGTTTCTGTTTGCTTAATCTCAAAGATAGAGAAGAAATGCGACTCTCAAGCTGCAAAGAAATATCACATGAAATCATTATTAAAATTATTCTGAAAATTAAATAAATGAATAAAACCAGAGATTAACAAACAGCTACTGTCTCACATGAGTAAAAAAAAATTTTTTTTATAAATTTTTTTTTACAACCAATGGTCTTATATCCATAAACACCACACAAAATCCATTATACCTCTACGGGTGTAATGACAAGTATAAACATTTTATTCTAAATTTAAGCTACTTAAATGACTAAAATAACATTAGATTTAAAGAATGTCTATTACAATTCATATTATAATATTTCCAATATGGCATATCATAAGCAAAAGCTAGGTTTTATGCAATCTCTAAGCTTTATATAGTGACACTACACACAGCTGGCTTTGAGCATCTTAGATTTATGTTTATGTCAATTCTCTAAAAATATGTGCGTTAAATGTAAACCACCAGTGTTCTCTGTGTGATAGTGCAGCTTGAGGAACCAAGAATGTTTCCTCATACTGTTCTTTGTTAATTTCTTACTGTACGTTTAAAGACATGAATGCGTGTATGACTGAATGTAGGAGAGAAAGAGAAAGATACATGGATACCTCAGTTAACTCCTTTAAAATGCTTTCTCGTTCCTCCGTTTCTCCCTCAATGCCTGTTGTTTCGAGCCAGTTACTCAAGACCTTTTGGAGCTTACGCCATGTCCTACACACACACACAAACTGGTTTCACTATATTAGTGAAGACATCTCATTTGGTGCAATGTTTTTTTTTTTTATATGAAGCTGAAGATATTTGTTAAACCCCTTTTGTTAGATCACAAAATGGAAATGCAAAACATTCCTTTCTCTCTAACATGTGCAGAATAGAATCCAAGTATTTTCTCCTCATTAGTCTCTCAAACGTAGCAGAAACAGCTATTAACACCAAAGGCCTAGTTTCCTTTGTGTTTGCTAGAATAAATAACCACTTTAATATGTTGATTCAGTCAAACTACTGCTGGACAGTCAATTCACACTTCTTCAAAACAGCTCCAGTCTGAAAACGGATTTGTAATGTAGATTTGGGACTTTTACTGCAGGATCATTTTAGCTTTCTGTTTAGCTGTCTGTTATATGCTATATATAAACCACTATATATGGATTGAAGACTGAATTTATTTTATATATTGGATTAATTAATAATTAATCAGAATTATAATAGAACTAATTAATAGTTATAATAATTTATTTAATAATAAATAATTATAAATGCTGTATAGTCATCCTATTCAAAGCCAGATTTACTTACTGTAGCTGTTTTCTGTCTTGCTGGAATTGGTGCATTTCCAGTCTAATATCTAGTAGTTCTTTTGTGAGATTTTCAGTTTTCTCCACATCTACAGTCTCATCTTCCTCATTCTCCTCTTCCTGTTCAGGTATTGTCTCATGCACACCTATGGCAGGGACAAATAATACGCATAAAATGGTCTTTCAATATGTTACTGAACCTCAGACTAGTGAAATGAAGCTCTCTTCAAATTAGGGCTGGGAAATATAGCCAAAAAAATTATCACAATAACATTTTTCAAATCAGTCAATATCGACAATTATCACAATAAATTTCAAATCTTTAATTCTTTCAAGCTTAGAGGCAGATTTTTGCTCTTAAAGTGTTAGTTCACCCAAAAATGAAAATTTGGCCATAAATGACTCACCCTGAAGTCATCCTAGGTGTATATGACTTTCTTCTTTCAGACAAATCCAGTGGGAGTTATATAAAAAATTGTCTTTGATCTTTCAAGCTGTTTAATAGCACTCAGTGGGGGTTGCATGCATCAGTCCAAAAGAAGTTAAATAAAAAGCGCCCATCCATAAAAAAAAAAGTCTCTCACACGGCTCCGGGGGGTGAACAAAGGCGGTAGTGAATCGATGTGTTTTTGTAAGAAAAATATCCATATTCAAAACGTAATAATCACTTTAATGTAGCTTGCGCTCACTGTTGTACACTGGAAGCAGTTCCAGGCGGATGATGTATGTGTTCAGCGCTGCGCATGTGCCGGTGAGTCTCGCGAAAACCAACTTTTGTTAACAGGAGCAAAGGAAGCAAAGTTTCCTTACTTTAGCAAAGGAAAACCAGTCTCCTCTTGGCTTATATCGAAATCCTCAGACATTCTTCTTTACAAATCCTCGTTTTGTACTTCTAATAAGTGACCATTGTTTTGTTTTGATCTCTCCGCTGCGTTTCCGCATTCATCACTTCTGAGCGGCGTATGCGCAAAGCCGACCTCATACGTCATTCCCTCGGAGCTGCTTCCGTGTACAACAGTGAGCGCAAGCTACATTAAAGTGATTATTACCTTTTGAATATGGATATTTTTCTTACAAAAACACATCGATTTGCTACAGGAGGCCTTTGTTCACCCCCCGGAGCCGTGTGAGACACTTTATTTTATTTTTATGGATGGACGAATTTAAATGAGAAGATTTAACTTCTTTTGGACTGATGCATGCAACACCCACTGCGTGGCATTAAACAGCTTGAAAGATCAAAGACAATTTTTAATATAACGTCGACTGGATTCGTCTGAAAGAAGAAAGTCATATACACCTAGGATGACTTGAGGGGGAGTAATTCATGGGCTAATTTTCATTTTTGTGTGAACTAACCCTTTAAGTTAAAGTTGAAACCTGACTGTTAACTGTGGTTTTAAACTACTCTTAGTGGTCAGAACATGACAAACACTTCACGATTTTGAATTCTACACTTTCAGTCATTTTTCCTTGACAAAATAAATATCTTAATAGAAAAATGTATTTCTTAGTTTCTGCATTTTCTAATGAGTGATATTGTTTCAAATCATGAAACATTTCAATCATTGTTTCAATCATTGTCAGCGCTGTTTCATCTGTTTTTAAACTACTTTAAATCACAGAGTCATTTGTGTTCTTTGCTGAATTCAAGCACTTCACTCTGGATCTCACAGCGCTGTTTAGCACTTATCAGCGAGTAAACACATCTGCTCTAATGAGCTCACTCTGTGCTGCAGTTTGAACTCTGAGCAGAGCGGATAAATGGTCCGTATAGCGCGGTTTAAATGAGTCACACGGTTTCGTTCCACTTTTGCCGTATAAGCATTATATCCAACATTTACCGAACTCTTGTTGTTATCGTTTTATCAAGAAAAATGATATCACAATGATTATCATTATCGTTTTATCGCCCAGCCCTACTTCATATTATGAAAGACTACCTGTTTTTACCTTGTGTTAGGAGAGGGCTGGAAGTGAAATGCATAGAATGTAGTGGAAGCTCCTGATCTTTTAAGCTTTTTTGCTGTAAAAAAGAAAAGTGCATAATTCATACAATGTAACAGTCTTTAAGGAACGGTTAGCTGATTCAAATAAAGAATTGGCAATGCACATTTAAGCCAAAATACGAAGCTACAAAACAAAAACACCAGTAAGTAACCGAATAAATAGGAACTGCTAGGGGGAAAAAAGTAACATTATACAAAAGCATTCAAACAAGTGTTCTCTAACAGCATCGATGCTTACCTTGCCATGTGCTAAAGAGACAGTAAATGAAGACGGAGGAAGCAGTATGTCCTGGCCATGACTGGCGATATATCCAGGAGGGCCAGGTTTGAAGGGGAGGACCTTTGTTTGTCGCACCATTCCAGGTGACTCCGGTGGGTTGTGGGTCAAATGGACTGAGGGTAACAGAGAAGTCTCCCTTACAGACACCCTCTGACTACTGGAACACCATAGAGAAAGGTAGATGTTCATTAGTATGTGAACATATTTATAAAACAAATTATTGCGACTTTAGGTTTGGCGAATACTATACCTGCTGATCTTGAAGTCACGTGGCAGAGGTTTGACTGGGAGCTGCAGCAGGTCATCTGGTCTCCTCGGTTGCAATCTAGATGCTCGAACTGACCACCTGATAACAGAACAGGACGATTCAATTACCTCAAGAAAGGTCAATCAGATTAATTTCCCTCGTTTTTTAAAAATCTCAATCAAATTTGTAATAATTAAAACAGAATTTGATGTTTTATCATACACTATATTTTCATATGTGTTTTACAATTAACTAATTACACAATAAATTATAGAAGCTTGTAGTAGATTTAACTACTAACAACTAACTACTTAACCAACATAAACAAATAAAATCAGAATTAACATCTGCAATAAGAATGACTTTACTCACAGCTGACTGATGATGGAATGTTTCTGCCTCTGCTCTGCTGCTTGGCTGCTGATTGGACAGGGGGTGGTGATGTGGGTGTGGTCTTCCGGCAGAAAAAAAGACACACTCTTCTTGGGGTGGCTGTCTATTTTACCCTTGACAGGCTTACACAGTGCCCGCTGCTTCCATCGTATGGCACAGCGCCTTACCATTTCCTGCAGGTGTCGACAGCTCTGTATGTGATACAGATTGCTTAATATTAATGCAAACACATAAACAAATCTGTGCTCTACAGACTACAGACTGAAATGCACAAATATATAGTAACTATGACAACAGCACCTGTTCATAGCTGTGCTGGGCAATATTAGTTGAGAAAGCACTCATGTGTGCTGTGTGTGTGAGGATGTGTGTGACACCCTCTCTCAACAGTTCATCTCTGTAAAACTGAGCTGCCTCAGTCAAACGCTTCTGTTTTCTCTGACGCCCTGCAATCCAGAACCGCCACACGCAAAACACCTGAAAACATACAGACCAAACTGTATGAAATTATGCGGTTGCAGGAAACATGAATTATCAGTAATAAGTGGTGCATGACTTGGCATTACCTTGGCCTGGAGGTTGAGGGACCAATGCCAAAGGGCAGTCTCAGTTTTCTCTGCTTCTATTCTTCTGCTCTGCAGCTGTATGTCGAAAAACAGTAAACCTCAGACAGAAAATACTATATAAAAACTTCAAAGAGACAATAACAATCAATCATAAGTAGCTGCAGCTCAAAAAAAGGAAATGAGGCAATGTAAGCATCTCCAACTACTGCATAGTAAGTGACGCTATAATAAAGCTTTAATGTCACAACTACAGCTATATTTAATAAAAAAACAGGCTGTGCTATATTGTGAGACTTTTAGTGAAAAAATTTGCTTAATATTTACATTAAGTGCCATTTGTTAACAAGAAGATGAGGCAAAGAGTTTCCTGTCATTTTAGCGCAGCTAGAATGTTGTATTGACAAATCAGCATCCAGGATTATTTCATAACCTTCAAATATGACTGAACACTTTGCTAAACCAAAACTCACCTGTGTTCTCCAGCAGACAAAAAAGTGCTGACAAATCCTCAACCTGTGAAGCTCAATGCTTCTCTTCTTCATTACCTAAAACACATCCAAGTGAAAAAAATAAATAAATAAATAAATATATATATATATATATATATATATATATATATACACAAATATATAATATACAAAAGATATATATATATATAATATATCTCTCTATATATATATATATATATATAAATAAGAATGGACTTTTATGAAATGTATACAGATATGGAGGCTTGGACAGGCACCTGATAAGTTTTGCGATGCTGAATATTACTGGACCATGTGTTGAGGGTTCTTTTTGCCTGGGTTCTGCTGTAGTGTCTGCTGGCCTTCTCATTCGCCAGTCTCTCATCTTTTACCTCTGTGCTTCGCTCTCTCCATCTTCTCAAAGCCACCTGCACACGAACTAACAGCACAAAAACAACATTGAATAATTTCATCTTTACACAGACTAATAACAGTGATATGTATATAACCAAGGTACATATATCCAGGTGTCTTCGAGCTTGTTTCAGGGCTTCCTCCTGTTGGTGATGGTGAAGATGAGCAGATATGGTTCTTTGTCGCCATGCCAGAAACACCTATCAAACAATTCAAATATTTATTATTTAGTTTATAAATTATAAAACTGTACTTATAAATAAAAGGTGTTATTTTTTACTTCTTATACAGTTATTTTGATATAAGCACCTGAGATAGAAGGTGATTTTGAGAAAAACATTTTGCTCTGTTTTCCTTCTCTCTCTCTTCCATCAACTGTGACACGTTCATCCCCCATGAACAGAACATTCTCCTGTAGAAAAAAATAAATAAACAAGGACAGAATAGATCACATATCTTAAAATATACACTACAAAAAATTTTAATTAATAGGTCATAATAATACCTGACAAGGTGCTGCTGATGCTCCTGGTAACGGCACTCCACATTTCGGCTGATCAATTGAGTCTGCAAATGGTATGACTATACGCATGCATGTACAAACAATGAGTTAATCATCATCTCAGCTATAAGCTTGCTATATACAATTGAAAATACACTACTATAATATAGCAATATATTCAGATAGACTACTGTATACTGTGTCAAAACAAATGTATTCATACCTTCCAAGCTTCTAGAGCATGTCTGAGCAATCTGCTGTTGTAGTGTTTCTCCATTCGTGCAAGTTTCTCTCTCTTCTGTCTTTTGTAATCTACATACTATAAAACAAGCTCATATTTACTTATTTTAGATTCACAATATTTCAAACCAATAATAACAACAACATCAGCATCACATGATTTAAAAAACATTATAAGGTGTTTTCTTAGTGAATAGAGCCAGCTACGTATGCCACTCGTACCTGATGCCAGTCTGCCATGGCTCTTCTCAGACAGCGCTGTCCATAATGATCCTCTGCCTGCTCGAAATGTCTCTGACTGATCAACAAAACACAAAAAAGCTCAAACTTCATCAAAATGCTCTGTGGCTTATTCAGATGTTCTTCCTGTAGTTTACATGATCTGATTACCACCTGGTCTGTATGTTTGCGACGAGGTTTCTCCACTGGTTCAGGGCCTTGCGTAGCAGAGTGTGTTTGTAAAGCGAGTCGGCTGCTGCTTGTTTGAATCTCTCCTCTCTACGCTGAACAGCACCACAGTACCACTTAGACCAGGCACGGGCACAAGACACGTGCTCGGAATGCAACACCGCCTATGAAAAAATTACAATAATATTCTGAAATATTATAACAATAAAAAAAAATGTTTTTAAAAATCTTAGACCAGGCACGGGCACAAGACACGTGCTCGGAATGCAACACTGCCTATGAAAAAATTACAATAATATTCTGAAATATTATAACAATAAAAAAAAATGTTTTTAAAAATATATATATATTTCACAATGTAATTTATTCCTGTGATGACAAAGCTGAATTTTCAGCAGCCATTACTTCAGTCTTCAGTGTCAAACAATCCTTCAGAAATCTTTCTAATATGTGGATTTGGTACATTTCTTCTTATTATCAATGTGGAAAATTAGTGTGCTGCTTAATATTTTTGTGGAAACTTAATGCATCCTAGCTGAATGAAAGTATTATTTTCTTTAAAAAGATATCTCACTGTCCCCAATTTTTTGTGAATGTATATTCATGGATGTCAGCTTACCGTTCTTTCAGCAAGTCTCTGATCTCTCTGTACCTCCAAGTTTCTCCACCAGGTGTAAAATGCCCAACTGCAAGTCTGCTGCCTATATAGAGGACAAATACATGTACATTTTCAGTACAGTACAATACAACACAGACATGGATATCTACATGCACACTATTTTAGCCACAGAAACTTGCCTGTACTGTTGTTCAGCTCTCTCTTTCTGCTCTCGCTTCTCTGTGCTTTGTGCTGCAAACTCCATCCAAGTATTTACACATTGTGGGAAGATATGTCGGGCAAAGCAGGCATCAGCACGTATTTCCAACTCCTATGTAAACACACATATATACAGATTGTTTGATAAAATATTAGAAGCATTTTTAAGGCAAAAATTAGGAAAAGTGCAGTCCACTACCTACTGCAAGTGGCCTATAAGATAATGAGAGTGTGGTGGCTACCTGCATTTGTCTGTGCTCTGTGAGACGTTTTCTCCAACGATGAAAGCAAGATCTCAGCACAGAAAATCTGTTGATTAATAACAACCATTTAAAAGTCTCACAGACCAACTCATGTTTAATAACAACCTAAAATATATAAAGTTTTATGACATGCTTCAAATGAAAAAGCATGAGCAGACTGTTTTGCCAGCAGTGCACATATTAAACTCATTTATATGACTAACTTGAGGTGGGCTTGTGCAACACTCATTCGGGGCTGCAGGCTTCTGTCCTCTGCCTGATCCAAGCGCAAGTGCCAGACTTTCCAACACCTTGCCAGCAACTGAAAAATGTCAAAAATCCATTTCTGGCATTTACACTTTTTACACAAAATTCATAAAAAAATGACTGAAATATAAAAAAAACATAACATTCATATTAATTACTGATAGACTAGGTGACAATAATTGCTCTTTTGAGGATGAGGATGAAGTTTTTAGCATTGAAATTTAGTTTTTATAGTATAATGAACTTTTTTTATTAAAAAAAAAAAAAAATCTAATTTTCACTAATATGTTAAAGGGACAGTTTACCAAAAAATAATATTCTGTTATCTTTTACTCGCCCTCAAGTTGTTCCAAAGCCTGTATAAATTTCTTTCTTCTGCTAAACACAAAAATATATTTTGAAGAATGTGGGTAACCAAAGGTTCTGGACCCCACTGACTTCCATAGTATTTTTTCCACACAACGGAAGTCAATAGGGACTAGTATATTTTTTAATAACCCACATTCCTTTATGAATTTTCTTTTATATTCAACAGAAGAAAGCCAGTCATACAAGTTTAGAACAACTTGAGGGTAAGTAACTGATCACAGAAATTTCATTTTTGGGTGAACTATCCCTCTAATTTTAAGAACAACTCTGTTATGAGTTGTGTTTATGATGTGCATTTGTGTTGTTCATACAATGTGATGATGATGCTGGACACTAATATTCTTGTTGAGATGATGAGTTTTACTTTGAGTGACGTTTAGAGCAAGGCCTCTGAAACCCAACTGCTGTGAAGAAATACAACATCATAATTAAAAAAAAAAAAACAACAAAAATCAGAAAGCTATATAATAAAACTTTAAAAACATTAAAACTTCTAAGGACAAGTACACAACTAACCAGAAGACAGAGTTGTCTGTGATGCATGGCAGTCTTTTCCCTCTTAGCCTTCTGTGAGCACAAACTGACATCTACAAGACAGCTCAGGAAAACAACTGCACTAGGTACCATCATGCTTTCACTAACATTTAATTTCTTCCAGTTTAGAAGTATATGCGAACTATCTGTTTAACTGTGTAAGCAAAGATACAGTGTCTCCAGTGTGAGAACGCCAGCTGCTGGGAGCCGTGCTGGGCCAATTTGTCTGCTCTCTGACCCATGTCTCTCTCAGCACGCCTGGATTGCAGCACATTGTTCCACTGAGACCAAAACTTCTCCAGCACAGCAACACGCCATACATCCTGAGCAACAGCTGCAACAAGGAAGACAAATAAAATAAATGCATAATTGTGACTGATCAGTTTGCCACTGAATCTCAAGTTATAGCAATTAAAAAGTCTTGCATATTAAAAGTTTGGGGTCGTTAAGATTTTTAAACGCTAAAATGTATGCTCATCAAGGCTGCATTCATTTGATCAAAATACAGTAAAAACTAATATCATGAAATATTTAAAAATAAAGTTTTTCTATTTTAATACATTTTAAAATGAAATTTATTCCTGTGATTGCAAAGCTGAATTTTCAGCTGCTATTACTTCAGTCTTCAGTATCACATGATCCTTCAAAAATAATTTAATTATGATTGGCATTTAATAAACATATCTTATTATTATTAATGTTGAAAACAGTTGTGCTGCTTAATATTTTTGTGCAAACCATAATATATTTATTTTTCAGGATTCTTTGATGAATAGAAAGTTCAAAAGAACAGCATTTATTTGAAACAAATATTTATTTGAAATGTCTTCACTGTCACTTTTGACCAATTTATTTGAACAGTAGTATATCTCATAAATATAAAATGAATGGCACCTGTTTTCTTGTTCTTAGCCTGTCTGTTCTCTGTGTGTCTTATCCATCCATGTAGTACATGTCTTAACAGATGAAGACAATAGTGACGGTGAGATTTGGACTCCTTCTCTTTCAGAACACAGGCATGTTTCATCCTGTCTCTCCAGTGCAGCCATGCCTGTGAAGAACAGCAATTTTAGAGATCACAAATTCATCGTACACTTGCATTCACACATGTTCATACTCACTCTGCTCTGTACAGTGTGAGCCCAGTGTTGTAAAGCAAGATCTTCTTGATGATACTTCACATCCCTGTGCTGTAGCGTCATATTCCACACAGTCCAAACCCACCTTTAATGACCAACACATACATAAATGTTTCACAGTAGTAGTTTACTTACAGGCCACTAAAAATAGGCCTTCACTGTGACACCCAGGGATCTTTATATTTGTTTATATTAAATAAACTACTGTTTATATTATATAAATGTACCGTTTTTATACTTTTATTCAGCAACAATGCATAAAAATCGATCAAAAGTGACAGTGAAAACATTTATAATGTTACAAAAGACTTCTATTCTAAATATATACATATGAACTTTCTATTCATCAAAGTTTCTGCAAAATTATTAAGCAGCACAACTTGAAAAGAATACTAATGATATTAATACTAACAAGTGTTTCTTGAGCACCAAATCGGCATATTAGAAGATTTCTGAAGGATCATGTAACACTGAAGACTGGAGTAATGGCTGCTGAAAAATCAGCTTTGCATCACAGAAATAATTTACATTTTAAAATACAGTGGAGATCAAAATTAGAGAACAACCTACAATTTCCTAACTTTCAAGGTCACTGCATAGTCCTATTTGAAGTTATCCTAAAATCAGTAGAAGGCCTGTTTATTTTAAGATATTTCAAAACATACTGAAATACTTTAGCCGTAAAATTTGTCATGGAGCGAAGGCGGAGCGGTGTTTCTGATATCAGTGAGCGAGGAGTGGAGCGGGAGCGGGAAATGGCGAACCCGGAGCAGAGCTAGAGCTGAGTGATTATTAAATGCTCGGAGCGCGAAGGGGAAATTGTTGCCGCTCCACTCCGCTCACATACTCTGGATGAGAGTAAGTTTAATTTATTTGGGTCTAATGGTAAACATTATGTTCGGCGTCAAACTGGGGAAAGACTGAACCCCGAGTGCATAAAGAAGTCATTGAAAGGTGGAGGAGGAAGTGTCATGCTTTGGGGGATGTTTTGTGCAGCAGGAGTTGGGACTCTTATACAGATACATGGCAGGTGAATGCAAATGTTTATAAGAACCTCCTTCAGCAACATGCAGTTCCTTCCCTGCAAGCATCTCCCAATCAGCCTGCAATTTTCATGCAAGACAATGTCCCCATCACACAGCAAAAAGGATAAAGCAGTTCCTTGAAGATGGAAACACTGAAATAATAAAATGGCCGGCCCAGAGTCCTGATCTAAACCCAACTGAAATTCTCTGAAAAATCCTTGGTGACAAAGTTATGACTAGGAAACCCACTATCACTGCGTTTTCCATCAAATAAACGTTTTTGTTGAAATGCCTTGGTTATTTTGTCAAACATAAAATAACAGCTAATAATCCTTCAAATTTTGAGCTATGAAGATTAACAATATTTCAGAAAAAAATTTATAGATTGTTCTCAAAATCGCCACTGTATATTAAAATAGAAAACAGTTATTTTATTATTTTTATAATATAATTTTTTGTATTAATATTTCACTATATTACTGTTTTATTGTATTTTTGATCAAACAAAAGCACCACAACAGAAACAATTAAAATTCTTACAGACTCCAAACTTTTGGACAGTAGTGTACATATATTTCGGTCTAATACTGTTACTTATTTATTCATATACGTAAAATTATATCAACATATTGACTGATTTGTGATTTTTCTCTCAAATATAAAATTATATTGTCATATTCAAGCCTGTTATTTATGTTACACCGTTCCCCTACACCAGGATTGTAACACTGTTAGTTGTGTATCTGGCTGCTTTACTCTTATGAGACTCTGCAATATTTTTCTAACACCACAGAAAAACAGTGCTTACTTTAGTACAGCGAGTCTCTGGTGCTGCACTGCTGCCTCCTGCATGCTGCGTTTCATGCGACACATGTCCAGGTACAGTTCCCAGCCATTCCACACACACCGCAGCTTGTGCTTCGTCTCTGCAGTACAAATATTCAGTTAATAATACCACAACATAATCATCCCCAGTAATGTGAGATGAAACTCTGAAACTTTATTCACATCCTCATTCAACTCTATAAACTAAAATATTAATAAAATAACAGCCTATATACCAAATCTGATTGCAAGTTGCAGTTTTTTCTTTTCTTCCCTCTGGACAGCAACATACTCCTGCCAGGCTTGAAATGTTTTGCTGTACAGCATATACCTAAAATGGGCAGAAATAATACATTGTTAAAAGCGAGGTTTTTTTTAATATAAATTTGTTAATATTTCTATTCAGTAAGGGTGCAATAAATTGATCAAAAATGACAGCAATGAATTATTATTACAAAAGCTTTATATTTCAAATAAATGCCATTCTTTAGAACTTTCTATTCATCAAAAAATCCTGATTTTTTTTTATCACGGCATATTAAGCAGCACAACTGTTTGAGACGAATAAAAAATGTTTCTTGAGCAACAAATCAGCATATTAGAATGATTTCTGAAGGATCACGGGACACTGATGGCTGTAGAAATGGCTGCTGAAAATTCAGCTTTGCCATCAAAGGAATAAATTACATTTTAAAATATATTAAAATAGAAACATGTATTTTAAATTGTAATAATGTTTCACAATATTACAGTTTTTACTGTGTTTTTGGTCAAATAAATGCAGCATTGGTGAGCATAAGAGACTCAACTTACGTATAATGGCAATCTGCCCTTATATTTAGGGTCCATTCCTTTCTTGCATGCCACCACTCATCTTTCCAAGCCCATAAAGTCTTCCTCAAGACCACCTTACAATGATGAGATCTGAAGAGAAAATACTAACTTCATTAAATAAATAAAGAACATCATATATCTTACTGTAGCACTGCAGTACTTCTTTGTGCATGAAGTGAACACATTACCACACTTGACCTGGCTTGTGATGTTGTTATTCGCCCAAATGTCTTCCGAATCCATAAGTGAAGGAACTTCCGAGCAAGATGCCTAAAAACCCAAAGCAAGAGTCACTTTTGAGGACATTCACAACAAGTAAACGAATGGAGGATGCCATTATGGCGTTATTTAAAATGAACAATCTCCTACCTTATCCGCAGCTCTTTAAGTCTACCACCTCGGTTCCAAGTATATCCGACCCGGTACGTGTTTTTCCATATAGGTGTTTTACGTGCCCTGTTCTTTTCAACACCACAAGACAACTGTTTCCCAGCTTTTGGTCTTGTCGTTTGCATCTTTTTAATGCTTTATTCGAGCATACATGACTTTCAGTCAATCAGCGCATTGTCTAGCGGCCGGTGCCTGAACTATACCCGGTTGAAATAAAGTGAACAAAGTAGTTTTTAGGGGTTTGTAGATTTAACTTGAAGCTTTAACGCTCTAGCAGCTCATTAAAAGGCTGTCAACTAAGACTTATCCTACTGACAACAACAACTAACAACAAACCATAACTGCCGCTCCTCTGTTGAATACATTTTCTTCCGGTAAACACGTGTCATAATAAAAGACCTTCCTAAAAGCACTTTGAACATTTTGATAATGCATTTATATTATAATTAATAATAATGCAGCTATGTTACAGTAATATTAACACAGATATTTTTAAATAATTCAGATTTTGAAATGAGTGATTATTGATGCAGCGTTTAGAACTGATCTGTTATGCCTTACTGTACAAAGTATTTTGTCAAATTAATATTGAGGTGCATGGATGTTTAAGTTGTGTTTTTTCATTTATTTTTAAAATGTCACGCAAAAGTCATGACAAGGTTAAGGTCACATACATTAGTCCGTTTCATTTTATTCTGTTTTAATCTTATTAATCTTATAATAATTTGTAATTACATTTTTATTTGTACATTATTAAAATACTGTTGTATTAAAGTGAGGTCTACGTGGTTGACAATAAACTTAAAACAGAATCCATCGTGAACATAATAGAATTTAATCGAATAAATAGCAGGTAAACACTTTTAACTACAGTCAGAATGATGTAAAAAAAAAAAAACATCAAGCAACTCAACCATAGACTGTAAAAACTAAGCTGTTTAAATCCTGTCACGTGACTACAATTTACAATGGGTGGCCACGTTGATTGCCTGAAATGTATTCTTGCTCTAAAATTCTATAACGACTCTTGTCAACGCCCTTGAATAAAACACACACTTCTATCGACGCAGTTTGGTATTCTGTGTAATTAAATTTGAAGTTACAATCAAACGTGAGTGTTTGTTTCTTGAAACTTTAAAGAAGGCGTGATTAGACACTATATAATCCTTGATTGGGGCCTCTCTCAGAACCAGTCAGAGATCTGAAGAAATTCGCCGCTCTGCGACTGAACAGAGACGAAAGAGAGAGCTCAGAGAAAGTACCCCGAGGTACATTGATTGTTCCAGTCGGACTACAAGCTTTAATTATTGGTAGAACCCAGTTATCTGCTGGAATTGGTCCTAATATATGTGAGCATTAATGTATTGACGCGCTTTTTATGTGCAGCTTTATGAGGGGATAAGTTTCCTAGCCTGCTAACCCGACTCACTAGCCTATAAATAAACAAACAAATTCGGCTCTCACGATCAAAAAACCAAAGGAGAAACAAGCCAAAAGTATAATTAATAAGCAGAAACGGTGCAAATAGAGCCGTTTGTCCATAAGAACCGAAGTAAATCCTCGGCGTCGACTTGTTGAATTTAGCCAGTTTGCTAATGAAATGCTTCTCTGACAATTAGCGAATAAATCAGGAGTGACCAGGGATATCCGAGCCTCGTGTCAGGATTGTCTACAGAGAAATTAAATTTTTAGGCAGAAAGCTTCATCTGTGTGCGGTCTTAAATCTGGACTGACTGCAGCATCTCTTGTAGTTTGGTATTGGACAGGTAGCCAGAAGCTAACTGCGGTATCCAGGCGGGGAGAGAGAAGGTGCTGTGACACCGTTTCTAATATCAGGTGAGTTCATCAGGATGTTGAGAGAGGTTTTTTTTCCAAAACAGACACGTTGTTCATGCGAGAGATATTATTTCAATGTTCCTTCATTAGGCTGATTAATATTCTGTAGTTTGCTTATTGTCTGTCTCGTAATTTGCTAATAAAACCGCTTCTCTGGAGCCGGACATTTACCTGATATTAAATCCCTACAACATTCAATCCTCATTAAAAATAGATCTAAGTTCAATTTAATTTGAAGTTCTCATAGACTTTACGGGATTTATATACGCCTTGCTAAACTGACTGCAGCCTGTTTGTACAATCACGTTCAATTGCTCACTGATTTTGGATTGGATAGCTATTTTTTTTTTATGACTAACCAAATAAATGTGCATTGCATTGTCACAGCGGTTAAACTAATGCTATAGAACGTCATTCACAGGTGCCCAGAGTGTCTGATATTGAGGCTTCACTTCAGTTTGACCACCCACCTGAGTTATGGAGAAGGATGAAAATGGTGAAAACATGGTGGAAACGGTGAAGGACTTAGTTGTGACCTCTGCCTATAGATATACCAAGGTGAGAACAATCCCTTAAAGGAAACCTCTTTTGAGAAACAAATTGGCCTTAATCTTTTGATATTATGGTGTGATGTACTTTGAACACATGTTGTAACTTTTAGAGCTCTAAATGTCCTACCAAATAAAAGACCACGCTTACAGCCTATGAAACTAGGCTTTAAAGTCATGATGAAATGGATGTAGCAGGAGATCTTTTCATCTGTATTGTGATGTAAAGTCAACTAAGAAAAATAGAAAATTTAAGGTTCTATCCATCAGTTGTTAAACAGATTTTGAGATGATGATTGGAAGTCCTGAATGCATAACCGGAAAGTAGTTTTCAGCAGAAGATCCCGTTATGACATTTTGATTAAACATTACAAGGTCAAAAAAAGCATACACCAGTGATTTGTATAAATAAAAAAATTCTATAACATGCATTTCAAAAATAGTGAATTTTCATTTCATGTCTATTTTAAGGGTGCTTTCAGACTTGGTTTGATTGATTGGTTTGAATCTGAGTTTTATTGCTTCTGCTGGATTGACTGTGGTATGTTTGTCATCAAAGCAGCAGCTGCTTAATGTTACCCTTGTTGCTAGGTAATGACGCAGAAGGTGACAAAATGCTTTTTTTATTTCTATTTCATTTGATTAAGTTATCATCTTTTTTCTTAAAGTTTCTATTTATTGGATTTTTATGCCTTTATTATAGAGACAGGACAGTAGAGAGTTGACAGGAAAGCACTGGGTGGAGAGAGGGGAGCCGGATCGGCATAGGACCTTGAGATGGGTATTGAACTCAAGTCACCGTGAGCACAGTTGCACTATGTCGGCGCACTACCCACAAGGCCATCGGCGCCAACAAGTCTTAATCTTATTAACATTTATTACCAATACTAAAATCCATTTTTTAAAAACCTTATGTTTTTTACTTTATTGAAATGTTTTAATCGAGTTGTTTTTAGAATGGCGTGAGAACTTAACTGCTTATGTACTACGTGTGACAAATTAACTTTTCAAATAGCAGGAAAACACTTAGCTTTAGTCAAAATACCTGTATGTAAAAAATAAAAATAAAAATCAAGCAACACAGAAAATTGTAGTCACGTGACAGGATTTAAAGCAATGGGCCTCATTCATGAAACACGAGCAGAACAAATTTGTCAATTGTTCGTAAAGCTGTTCTGACGTAAATTTTCGGATTCATGAAAGTGTTCGTATTTTCAAAATATTAGTTGGTATGAAAGAAATTTACACCTGCTCCTTACCAGGGGCCCGTTCTTCGTACGTCGCTTATTACATCCGAGATGAAATGTCACATCCAAGATGATATCATCGCACTAATCAGGATCTGGCTAATTCGGTTCTTCGAACGCACCTGTTGTTGATGATTAGTATGGCTGGATTGAGTTATCTGAGATAATTGTGCATTCATGGGTTGGTTTAAAAGGGGCTATTAATGCACGACTCTACATTATCTGTATAGCATGTGTGTAAGACTCGAATACAATTATGAAGTAGTAATTTTATGACAAATAAATCTTTCAGTGAGTAAAACTGGCTGTCTATAGTATTAAAGACTACACAAAATTATTATCTTTAAATTAATTTTTAAATGATTATTATTTGAAATTATTGTCCTTGGTTCAGTAGGATACACTTGTAATGTGGTAGCGGACAGATTTTAAGTTTTAGTTCTGCTTAAAAAGATGCGATCTAATCCTGTTTACATGAAATAAGCCTGCACCCGAGCAGGTTTAAGTTTACAGACCTGTTGCTATGACAGGATGCAGTTTCGAAGAGCTTCGAAGAACCAAATAATCAATAATTCAACTACTGAATAACAATAGAGAAGTTAATATTGCTGGTTACTGCATTTTATATTCAGTAATATTCTTCAAAATGAGGTTCTAGTAATACGTTACTGCCATGGATATTCCAAATCATAGCAACCAAAGCGCCTCTGGAAAAACGCTGTGCCACCAAAGCATTCTCAAGCACCACCAGCTGGACGTATTTAGAAGAGTGCCTGACATTTTTTCAGCTGGCTAAAAACATTTGTGGACACGTTATTGAATATTTATTGTTAGGCATATGGCCTATGAGTCTTTTTTTTTTAGCATGTATGCAATATACTGGAGCCAAACCTGAGAAAGTAGACCAGAATATTCCACTGCGTTCCTGGACACGCAATTTGCGGAACTTAGCTGTAATTATACTAATTGTGAATGAGCGTGCACGAGTGCCCTATTTACAAATGACTGGAATTAATTACCATACACATGTTTAACTGTCAAATCTGATGTGTACGAAGCGTTTGTGAATCCTGAGGAGAGTTTTCCGGGAAGGTCTGTTTTACGCGCAAATTACTCAGAATTTACTCCTATATTTACGAATGTTTCGTGAATGAGGCCCAATGTGAGAATGCTGTTGTGCATTGGTTGCCTTAAACAACAAAGCAGTAAAAGGCAGCAAAATGCATAATGAAGCTTGTCTCACTTTTATACTTTAATTTTGAAACTTTGGTCTTGTTTTAAAGCATCAGCACTCAATGGCAGTGTATCTATCTGCTGTTAAAGTATTGCAAATTCTCTAGAAAGTCAGGAGTTGAGATTAAGACAGAAAAGTAGAAATGAGATATACAGTACATGCATCAGTCCTTCGTGCCAGGAAAGTGAGAGAGAATGCACAGTTTTACCGAACCGTATGGTATCAGTAACGGTTCACTTCCACAATTTAGTATGAATATGTTTGTATCAGCAGTGAAGCATACCAGAGTTTTGTAAACTGCGTTGCGTTCACATCCCATTGAACCAAACTTTGACATCAAACTCTGAAAGCACCCTTAAATATTTTGGATGTAAAGTGTTCTATAGAGTTTTGTAATGCTTATAATTGTTTGTTATTGTAGGAAGAGCTTATGGAAATCAAAGAACTCCCAATTTCCAATGAGAGGCCAGAGTGTCTTTCAGAGAAATATGACAGGTGAACT